CGCTGTCTGTCTTCATGTTCTGCTACCACCTTTCACTGGGTTTCTTCCTGCAGACTTCTGTCAGTTCCTCGGTTTCCTGACAGCGTGTTTTTTGGCGTGAGTGTGAACTAGCAGGCGTTTCCTTCTGCTCTTCCTAACAGCCTCATTATCCTCTAAATACCGGTTTGACATCAAAGGCGGCGACACTCCTCACACCTCCATCTCCTCTGGGTCCACACTCTTCCTTATGCATGGACCGGTCTGCACCGGCAGGTCCGACGTCCCTCTGCGGCTGTAGGAACGGCGACCCGGAGGTGGCAGGCTGAACCAGGGAGGGAAAAACGCTTTCCTTCCACGTTCCTGGACCAGACGCTCCATGTGACTGTCTTTGACTCTGAATGTGTGAACAAAAGGTGTCGAAGGTCAGCCCCCCGTCTCTCTGATGCCGAGCAGATGAAGTTAGTGTAAATATACGTTAATTTTGCCTTTCAACGAGGCATAACACTGCCCCTTTAAGGGAGGAATAATCTGAGACTGCTATAGCTTTGTTTCAAAAAATTACTTCACTGACTCAGTTATAAGATTAGAAGATTGCAAGACATTGAATAAATAAATGGGACTCAATACATTTGACCAGGTTCTTCCAGTTTTTGAGAAACAAACTCACTACAGAAATAATCCATCAAATTCTGAACAAAAACTGAATATTCCAGCTACATATAGATTAGGTTGTCATCAGACTACAACAGCCAGCTTCCATAGTGAAGGACCATTTAACCAAAGTGACTCTGCCAGGTCTCCCCGTTATCAGCTGGGGTAATTGGAGGTGTTCCCCAGCCAGCCGGTCCTCCAGCCCTGCAATCACTGGCTCATATTTAATTGCCCCGCTCCATCCAGCCCCATCTGATGAAGGGAGTCGCAGTGCCTGCTCATCCACTGGGACTGGTCTCGCTGGCCCCCATCAAAGCCCGGGGAGCCTTTGATGAGGTTGATAGGGATCAATGGGACCAGGGAAGAAGCCTTAACTGACTGTGTTACAGACAGGGCGGGCAACTGCTGGAGACTGCAGGCAATGGAGATCAATGATTATTAGGCGCCATCAGCGCCTTGATCTGCATAGAGGAATCCATTCAGCATCAAAGGGCCATCTTCTGAGGTGTTTGGCAGATCCCAGCTTTCTGTGTCAAAGGCCACATCTTGGCCTGTTTTTTCTCCTCCCCATTTGTTCTGTTTATTCTAAACGGTTGATGCAAAGAAGGGCGACACTGGGAGTGAACCCGAAGAGCGACCTTTCCCCGCTAGCAGAGAGGAGAAGTTCAATAATCGTCTGGGATAACAAGCCGCTGAGCAAATTCTACCAAACGGGAATAACCGTAGAAACGTGGCTGGGTTTAGTCCAGGCAACCCGAGGAATACACGGATCAGCTGGAACAGTGGAAGTGAAAACTACCAGGGAGTTTTAGGGCGATTGTAGGCAGAAAATAAAAAATTCAGGTTTGAGGTTGAGGCATTTTGTTGAAGAAAACGTGAAAAATTCTGGGTTTCAAAAGTCAAAAAAAGTCTTGTAGGATTTATTCTCTAATAATGTTTTTGACTTTTTAAACTCACAACTTTCTCAACAACTTGTTGAGCATTTCTGCGATGAATCTCAAAACTTTTTAGTTTTTTCTAGCATTTTACTTTTTTGGAGCTCAGATTTTTCCTTTTTTCTGAAAAGTATCTGAGATTAATCTCAACAACTTTTGGAGGACAAAAATTGATTTTTTTTTCTACAATGGCCCTGGCACACTGTCATAGATGACTCCAAAAAATGGAGAAAATGAATTCATCAATGACGATTTGGGCCGTTGGATCAGACTCACGTTATGGTCCCTCTGGTCAATAATCAGCCAACATACATCTTGAACATGGCCATTGAATGAGTTTGTGCTGTTTTCACACATTTTTCTGCATCTGAAGTTTTTCCACGATTGAAAAGTTTTATTTTTATCTCATGTGTGCATATGTGTATATATATATATATTTTCTCCCATTTGGCGAGAACAGATGATAATGCCATACCTTTGAATAACCCTTCAGCTTGAAAAGATGCGCAAAAAATCCTTGCAAACACAAATAACATCTTGAAGGAGTTTCTGAGTGGGGTAAAATGAACTCGGAGTTGAAAGCTGCTGACTTTAAAGCATTTGTAAATCAGCTCATGGAGAGGAGGAGTCGAGGTGAGATTATTCTGGCTCAGTTTGGGGAATCACATGAAATGATATGAAGGAGTCAGAGACTGCGATCTGTCGGGACGCGCCTCCCCGTCCCAGGCTGAGAGAGGGAGGGGCAGCCAAGGTGCATTTGTGTCCATAACAGAGCAGCAAACAGGCCCATTAGAGATGAAAGGCTCAGAATGGAGCCAATCAAAGAGGGGCCCAGCAAGGGGGTCCATCGCCCCGCCTACAGCGGTGGCCTGCGACCTGGGCGGAAGGAGGATCAATGTCCTTCCCCCACAGATGTCACGGATAAGATGTGTTCACACACAAACACACCACTCACAATCTCACTCACAATCTGTTACCATTCAGAGAAGAATGTTTGCCGCTCACCAGACTCCATGTTCCACGTTTGAGGACAAGGCGACACATAAACAAAGACAGCTGCAACCAGACGACTGCTGGCCGTTTGGGAAATTTCTAGTTGTTATTTTGTGAGCAAATTTTTCAGGCAGAAGTAGCCGCTTTCTGCAAGACGTTCCAGTTTTTAGTCCATATTTCGAAATGTATCTGATACCGTATAAATACATGGCCCGTATCGTCAATACTGATACTGATACTGATACCGATACGTTTTTATTTAAGTTTGATATATTGTCAAACTTCTGACGTTTGGGTGATTTTGTTTTTCCTTCAAATTATTTTCTTCAAACTAACAGGACATAATTTGGACAAAGATTATTGGTGTCTAACAAGATACTTTTTTGAGATACAGCTACCTCAAAAATCTGGAATTATTATTTCATAGGTAGCAAAATGCAAAACTGACTTTTTGAGCATAACATCATGTTATAATGTAATTTCCTCACCACAAACATACCTGGAGAGTTGCTTTCGTACATCTTTGAGAACTCCTTTAATCTCCCGTGGCAATCACTCAACTGTACAAAACGCCTGGATGGATCAAGCTCCGCCTTCAGGGATGGAGCTCCTCCCCTGAGCTCATTATACGAGCTGCTTCTCAGTGCAACACTGGTAAAAACAAAAGATGGAGTTTCTGGAAGAGCAAGTGTTTTTAAAGCGACAGAGGTCCAATTTCAAGGCACTGAATTACAAAGTCAAATTTCTTTCAAGTCATATTTGATATATGTAGCATTTTAATAATTACTGAAGGAAGAAAAGTTTCTTGATCGAGCTTCAAAAATGGCACCGTATGCCTGGAAAATACATAATACTGCCGATTTCAGATTTTGTGGCACTCGCGAACATTATTTATGGTAATCGGTCAGGAAATGTGCAGAGAAATACAGCAAAGGTCAGGAATCAAACCCCAGATGGTTGTGATGATGACTAGTAGATATTTCTTTGTTGTTTATTTTATTTGAAGCTTCATCTGGTTTTCCAGATTCTTCGTTGAGTTTAGAAACAGCAGAAAATCCAGACCGTCTCCTGTCCTGTGGTCTGTCTCTGCAGTCCTCAGATTAAAGAGCGGGGGGAGGAGGAAGAGGAGGAGGAGTCTGATTATCAGGCATCCACCCTACCATACTACATCATCATCATCATCATCATGATCATCATTATCCAGACAGACAGACAGACAGACAGAGACAGAGGCAGGCAGTGGTGAAGGTGACAGTTAAAACCAATCACCAGCAGTCCTCTGAACTCTGAACTGAACCAATCAACAATCTGCAGTTTCCTGTGTTTTGTAATGTCTGGTCGATGGTGAAGGTAAGCACCGACAGAAACACACAGATAAGGGATTACTTTGGGACACTTGGTCCAGCTCCACAATTTTAGATTTACATTCAAAAATGTAACCTGCTGTAAGCCACTTTGACCTCTGAGTCATCCTACAACGACCCCTCATACAGTGGAGAATATATATTATTAGTACTATCTTTTGTTCTTTTTTTTTAATGACCAATGACCGACAGGGTCTTCTTGTTTGTTATCAGGTGGAAGCCCATAAATTCGGCTCTTTTAGTGAATAGGGAGGAAAAAGTGGCGAATAAATCATATTTCTGCTTCCAGTTTTATAGAAAAACTTCGGACGCAGCTCTCTAAATAATCCGTGGTCAGACACCTCACAACAATCAACCAATTTTACGTCATGACATTCGTCCAGAAACATTATTATTTCTGGTAATTTGATTTGATTTTTTACATTATTTTTACTCGTTAATAACGGAAAAGCAAAAATGAAACAATATACTGTATTTGAATCAATCTGGAAACAATGTAAAAATCCCCCCAGCATTTTCAGTTACTTAAGTCCTAAAAGACCCTACAGATTACACCATCAGAATGTTTTAACCTAATTACATTTAATGCATTTTACAAAATAAATGATGCACAAGTCTGACTGTTTTGTCCCAAAAGAATAAACAAAACATGCATTCACAAAACAATTATAATGAAAGTAAAACTGTAAATAAAGAAATATATGCACAATTGTGTCATTGACATTATTTATTTAACTTCCTGCGTTATTTGCTTGATTATTTCACGGTTTTATTTCCTAGAGCGGGAAATATGAAATAACTGAACGTGATTGGTCGGACTGACTTTCTCTACCAGGCCTCGAGGCGAGCCGTACCCCCACCCCACACACACACACACACACACACCCACACACACACACACCTCCCCCCTCCCTCTCACCCCGCCTGTCGATATCAAAGCGCCGCTGCCTTTGAAGTGTCCCGGTAATAACTGTTTAACACCAGTCGGTTCTCGTTTCCTCCTCGCGCACAAATACCGCGAGGAAATATCTCGAGAGCCAAAAAAATACGTGACTTCTTACCGTGCGCAGCGCCCGGCCTCGCTCGGTATCTTATCAATGGCGGCGGAGTTTGTTGTTTGACTTTAATATTCCTCTAAAATCGAACATGTTAAAACCACTCAGCATTTGCGAACAACACAGCGTCGCCAGGCAAGCGAGCTTTCCCCCCGCAATGAACTCTGGTCCGTCAATGGCGGTGAGTTAAGAGTTAATCCACAGCTTCAGTAATTCCGTCAATTGGAATACTAAAAAACTAAACAGAGTCAATTGACCATATTTTAAGATATCTATGTGCAAATTCTACTGTCTTTTCAAAGACAGTATATTATCTCTACAATGTTGCTCTACTAGAGGCAGTAATGGAGCTTTAGTTTACAATTTTCCCCTTTTCTGTTGCATTGTGCATAAAACGGACTCATATGAACACAGAACACAGGAAAATGTGTCACGTTAAACTAGCAAGTGGTGACAGAGCTCACTGTTTTCATTCCTTTTTTTATTTTGCCGGTTTCTGAAAATTTGCTAGAAAAATCCTTCGACCTTTGACACGTTGAGATTTTTCTAGGAAATTTCTGGCATTAATCTCAAACTTTCTGAGCTTCTTGGTGAAAATGTGCTTTTTCTTTCTTCTTTCTATCTACGATGGGCCCATGATGCTGTTGTGGTTCTAGTTGCTGGTCATTTCACCCCATTGTTGTTTTGGACATTTGCAGTTTTTTGTCTAGTTAACTAGTTTAATAGCAAAAAAAAAAAAAAAAGTTGGTTTGGGGATTAGTTATACTTTAAGTATGAGTACAATATGGAAGCAGCTAAATTTGATCACACAACCAGCATCTTATATAAGTGTGTGTTTGCGCGCGCGTGTGTGTGTGTGTGTGTGTGTGTGTGTGTGTGTGTGTGTGTGTGTGTGTGTGTGTGTGTGTGTGTGTGTGTGTGTGTGTGAAGGGGTGTGGGTGGTGTGTTTGCATGAGTAATATCAGTCTTTACAAAGCCTGCCTTTAATCTCAGGATGATCTCAGGATTAACTGTTGTCTGTATGTTAAACCACTCACTGCTCATTATGTTGCTTATTAACCCGATGACTCCTTCTCACTTGGAGATGCAGGAAGCATCATTCTGAAGCAGCTGATCCTGATTTACTGGCCATGATGTCCAGCCACTTGACACCCATGGATCATCTAAGGGTCATTATTTTCCCTGGGATTAATCAGCAGGAAATTCTGATGGGCGCCAATTAAAATGAGATTGTTCTTTTTTTCTTTTAAACTGACTAACAAGCTCTTAAGAGTTCAAATAAACAGTGGATAATTCTACTGTCCTATGAAAACAAAGAAAGTGGAAATATTAGCTGTCACACTGTCTAATCCTCTCCCGGTTTTGTTTTATTAACTATTATTAGATTATGGAAGTTTTTGACTTTATTTAAACTGCTTTTCTCCTTGTGTACTATTTTAAAAGTATGTTATATATATACTTAAAGAGCCAAATCAGCGACAAAAAGCACATATTCTCAAAACAGATGTAACATTAATTCCATTTCAGGTTGCTTTGCAATAAAACCAGAGTGCTGAATCCTGGCTCCAGACTAATTCAGACGAATTCAGTGCTGTACCTTTACATGCTTCCACACCGGTCCTGAGCGGAAATGTCTCCCCTGCAGAGAATCGCCGCTCTGCGTTGTTTTTACGGCCTCGCGGCTGTGGCTGTGGAGGAGCTGCAGACGGTCTGGGGTGAGGTGAGTCTATTATCTGTTGCAGGCAGGAAGGAGGAGGGTGCTGGAGGACAGGCGGGGGTCCTTCCCAGACTCACTGGAGCCTGGCTCTAACAGCCTCATTGAGACTGAATGGGACGTCTTAATTACTCCAGTTGTGAAAACTGAAGGAGGGGATGCAGCACGCTTTGATCTTCAGGTTGGGGAAGGCTGCTATAAATGCGGCCCCTGCTTTGAGACACAATCATAACTCTCTGACCTTTACAAGGGACCAACCTGAGGAGAACCTTCCTCTGACCTGGACTCTGAGCTGAGCTTCACTTTTCATTCTTTTTTTTTTTTTTTCATTTTTATGAATCAAAAAGGTTTTTGTTCTTTCTTACTGAGAAACTTTAACCTTCATCAAGCATGAAGGGTCATTTCTCCATCGAGTGGCTGGCCCAGAGCAGCAAGCCGGCGGGGCCAGCATCCGGGCCCGCAGCTTGGGGGACGCATTCGGAGAGTCTGCCGGGTTTTTACTGCAAACCAAAACCTGAGAAGATTCCAGAACCGGAGCAGCAGCAGCACATGGACACCATCAGTCAAGAAGCTCCTCAGCTCCGAAAGTCTCCCAGGAATCAGGGTGAGAGTTTCACTCTGTAAGCAGTTAAAGGCGGCGGGTTCAGAACTGCTTTCTGCTGCTTTTTAATGCACTTTATGGGGGGAAAATAACCCTAAATATTCCAACGACTCTTGTCCTAAAAGTTCTAATAAATATTGGATTTCAAATTTTAAATGTCAACATCACTATAGTTAAACTCTGTGCTTTATTTTATTAATCAAATTTCTGTTTAACGACTTAAATTTTATATTTTTTCACTTAACTTTAATAAATAATAGCACAGTTAAAATACTTCTTACTACTAATTGAATTTACAATTTTTTATTTATTATTTATTCATTTTTAGGCTTATTTATGTGTCTACTACTCTAATAGTAATACATTTATTTTTGCTTTTCACTTTTGCAAAAATATTCAACAACTTTTAACTTAGTTTAGTGTGTCTTTGGTGAACTGGTATAACATGTTTTTTGGTATCAGCTGGACTATTACAAATTAGAATTAAAACATGTTGGTTTTCACTGGTATTTAGTTTTATAAGATAACACTATTCTCCATATTTATCTGCAAAGCAACAACTATGATATAGTTATATGTCTTTCTCATGGAACTACACAAATATGTCAACATTTGCTTCATAATTTCTACATTTTTCTTTGGGGTTGCAAGTCCAAGTCCAGGTAAAAACGTGGCAGGTGGCAGGTGAAAATAAAAAAAAAATATTTAGAATGCATTTATTGGGTTTCACATTTTTATTTTGATTGAGCAGGATGACTGTCTTTGTATGAACTGAACATGGCTCTCTGGGGGGCAATGGCCACCCTCTGGCCCCCCCCTTGTGGTCGCCACTGAGCATTCCTGTGAACCTTCACAGAAACAGTGGCCCATGCGTTTCCCTTCATGTAACAGTACCAGTGGCGCTCAGCACTGTGTCCGCTCATTGTTAAAGTTCCCTTAAAGTCCTGTCCCGCTTGTCTCTGGCCGTGAGCAGGAAGTGAGGCCGGTTTCAGCAGCAGCACCGAGGAGGAGACCTCTGGCTATGAGAGCGAAGGCGGTCAGCCTCATTCCCCCTCTCCCCACGCTGACAGCGCCTCCTGCAAGTCTCCAGCGTCGCCCCCGGTGGGCAGGAGGCCCCGCACGGCCTTCACAGCGGAGCAGATCAGCAGCCTGGAGGGGGCGTTCAAGAGGAACGCGTACCTGGGAACGCAGGACAAGGCGGAGCTCTGCAAGAAGCTCAACCTCTCTGACAAGCAGGTGACTGTCCTCCACTGACTGCCACTGCAGACAGCTTGAGGAAAAAACCCAGATCATTTTTTGTTCTGACCTTTAACCTTTAACACACATCAATTTGAAATGTCTTCACTATCTATGCACTGTAATTAGAAGTGATTAATACTTTGTTCAATTCATATTTTTTTGTTTTGTTTTAATGACCATTTGGAAGATGTGTTTAATGCAACATGATTTATTCTTGGTGTTTTGCATTTTGTTTGTTTTTCATTTTTAACATTTAACAAAAGAGCTAAGAACTTTAATGTTTTCATGTCACTTTCAGAACCATAAAAAATTAATTACTTTGACCTTAGTAGATATTTGGGTTGTTTTTAGTAAAGCAGTCACTGTCTGGAATTCATATGTCACTTTTTAAGCCATTCCAAAGCTTAAATGTTATCTTAATTTTCTCACTTTAAACTTGCACTTTATATATTACCGGTTATCTTTGGCACTGATGTCTCCAGAAAACTTTCATCACCAGTTTCGGCCAGGCTGGCCAATAAAAATTGTAGGGTGGCAAAACTGAAAAAAAAACAACAACAAGATATTAACCAGATTACAAGTAACTTCATAATAAATCAGAGTGAAAATATCTTGTAAGTTGCTGAAAGTACTACTTACTTTGAATTAAGTTCAACATCCTCTTCTGTCCCTCTTGTACCTGGACAGAAAGGGATTTATTAATCCTTGGTACCAAACAAATCTGAATGTACAAATTGATTTTAAAAACAACAATTTTATTTAACTTTTTATTACTTTTTTTTGTAAAATGTTTCATCTTCACTCAGATTTTTCTATGAAACGTTATTCATCATCTGTCATGTTTTCTCCAGCCTCATACGTTCCCTCTGTGGTGTTTGTCTCAGATCAGGAACTGGTTCCAGAACCGGCGGATGAAGCTGAAGAGGACGGTGCAGGACGCCCTGGCCCACGCCTGCCAGGCCAACGTTACATCTCACTTCCTGCATTACCCCGAGCTGCAGGCCTACAGGCCCGGCCCGTACCCCAGGCACCACCCGGCTGCCGCCGCCGCCGCCGCCGTGGTGGTGCCGGACCCCGACGCCCCGGCCACCTACGTTCACCCTCACAGCCTTCAGTACAGCTCGCCTCTGTCCAGCACCTCCGCTCTGCCCCTGGACTCCGTCTACGAGTACAGCAGCCTCCCGGGAGTCATGCTGCCCTCTCACCTCAGAGGAACCTACCCACCGTACCCCCAGTACTACTGATCAGTGAGGCTGGAACCAAATTTAGAACCATCAGATTTTGTAATTTTTTAGCAAAACTACTGAAGTCATCCTGTTAATCATATGGATGCACCGATCCACTTTTTTCACTTCTGATACCGATATCTGAAGTTAAGTATGGGCCGATACCGATCCAGTGCAGCTGATATCGACTTTAAACATTTTATTTTTTATTTTTTTGAACTCAGACATAATTGTAGTGAATTACAAACTTACTTGATAACTCAGCACCAGTACAGTACACAAAAACACACCAACAAACACGTAAAAACAACTTTTAATCTGTTCAGTCAGTGCAGTTGTGAGTATAACAGCCAATTTAACATAAATAATAAAGAAACTGGACACTAGGCAGACCATCTTGGTCAAACATGTAAAAAATAAACTGAAATAAACTTTCTTTCAAATGGTTTCTATTTTGCGACTACTATCGATATTAATGTTAGGTCAGTGCATCTCTAGTTAATCATAGACTTTTAATAACCTAAAGCTCCAACCTGAACTGGGTGGCGTGCAATAATGTGAACAGTGTGTGTGTGTGTGTGTGTGTCTGTGTCTACAGTTTGGATCTATTTAAAACTGGACCGACGAAGCTGTTTGTTTAGAGTGGAGTGTTATTCTGACTGTGAAAATACATTTAAATAAAGAAAAATTCTCGCTTGTGTTCGGTGTGAGCAGCTCCTGATAGAGTTCCTCAGCAGAGTGAAGGTAGGCTCTATTGTGCAGGTGTGTTTCTTTATTATGCTGTGATTTATGTTAAAGCTACGGTACGTAACTTTTATTTTTAAAAAAGGCATACATTCTTTACACAGTTGTTAAAACTATCACTTTGTCGTAACAGCGTGGTATGTGTTGCGTGGGGTGGGGAAATCAAGTTCCTTTTATATGAGTTTCATGGCCAAAAATGTCTCTGAAAACTGAGCCGTAAAAGAGGCACAACCAGGACAGATACTTTTTAAACATATGATCACATTTGTCCAGAAGAAATAAAGTCATCTGAAAATGTCAAATTGTGATGTTTGCTTGTTTTCGCTTTGTTTGCACTGAGAACAGAAGGCATCAGTTGGTAGCACTGATGCCAGGGCCGGTCCAAGCCTTTTTGGGGCCCTAATAGATTTTTACATGGCCCGCCATATCAACTTCAAATCTTCTATTTTTTTTATAACTGAACAAAAAACAACGTAATAATCTAAAACCACCAAAACAGTTTATTTAAAAACAAGGCTGAAAACACCCACCTGTTTTGTTAGTTACCTTTGATTAGTAGAAAGTGAAACATTGACCAATATATTTGATGTATATTTGCCTGATAATTTTGTTGATATTTGACAAAATGTAATGTTTATTGCTTGTTTCATAATTCATCATTATAATGTTTTCATTATGTAAAGCACTTTGAACTGCCCTGTTGCTGAAATGTGCTTTACAAATAAACGTGACTTGAGCTAGACTTAAATTCAGTGTTTCTACTGTGAGAGCTCTTGTCAATTTGACTTTCTGCATTTTACTAAACCACATTTTAGTTGTCATTTAGTCTTACAGAGGATGCTGTCACACTTCACTGGGAAGAAGTGGAGGGTCTGGTGGATAAAGAGTATACAATACCGACATCCACTGGCAGAATCGGGTAATGCAACAACAATGTAGCAACACCATGGCTTAGAAAACAAGTGTAAAAAAAATCTTCCCATTTGATGGTTACTTATATTTGCAATAGTTAATATTACAAGCATTAGTTAAAGAACTGGATAGTCACGTCATGTTATTATTGAAGAAGAAACTATTTCTCCTATTATTCAAAAAAGTGTTTTAAAAGTTAAAAAAATATGTTTCACAATTATTGTGATTTTATAACTATAATAAAATAAAATAAAAAGTTTTGAAAAAAGTACCTATTCACTGACATAACTTCGACTGTTTTGTGGACCAATGGCTGACCAGCCATGTTAAAGATGAACGATAGCAGGCAAATTTATTGACCAATAAAAACACGCCATAAACTCGCGAAGTTGTCGAAGAGGCAAGCGTTTTGGCCAATCACAGCGCTTCGGTGGAGAACGTGAGGGGAGGGCGCGCGACACTGGCTGACGACTGCACGCAGCGAGCTGCTGCTCAGAAAGAGGGGGGCAGAAGCCGAATGGTGGAGCTGAAGATGGCGGATGGCGACAGTGGGAGTGAGCGCGGTGGAAGTAGCGGAGGAGGAGGAGGTGGCTTCCAGCACTTTCAGCGGGACCAGGAGACCCAGGAGCTGGCGTCTAAGCGCCTCGACATTCAGAACAAGCGCTTCTATTTGGATGTCAAACAGAACAGTAAAGGCAGGTTCATTAAAATTGCCGAGGTAGGGGCCGGAGGCTCCAAAAGTCGCTTGACCCTCTCGCTGTCAGTTGCGGCGGAGTTCCGTGACTACCTCGGGGATTTCATCGAGCACTACGCCCAGCTGGGGCCTAGCACTCCGGAGCAAATAGCCCAGGCCACCGCGGGTGAAGATGGTGGGCCGAGGCGAGCTCTCAAGAGCGAGTTCCTTGTCCGGGAAAACCGCAAGTACTACCTGGACTTGAAGGAGAACCAGCGGGGTCGGTTCCTGCGGATCCGGCAGACCGTAAACCGCGGACCTGGCTTTGGGGTCGGGGGGCCCGTGGGTGGCATGCTGGCCGGCCAGACCATTGCCCTTCCGGCGCAAGGGCTAATAGAGTTCAGAGACGCCCTGGCTAAGCTCATAGATGATTACGGGGGAGACGACGAGGAGCTGACGGGGGGCTCGGCCGCGGGGGGCTACAGCGAGCTCCCGGAGGGCACCTCCATCATGGTGGACTCTAAGCGGTTCTTTTTCGACGTCGGCTCCAACAAATACGGAGTGTTCCTGCGAGTGAGCGAGGTGAAGCCCAGCTACAGGAACTCTATCACCATCCCGTTCAAAGCCTGGGGCAAGTTCGGAGGAGCCTTCTGCAGGTACGCCGAGGAGATGAAGGAGATCCAGGAGCGGCAGAGGGACAAGATGTACGAGAGGAGAGAGGAGTCCGAGGGGGACGACGTGGATGACGACTGAGCAGGAGAATTACAGCAGCTGTTAGTCCAAGCCACACGACAGATGTGCGACATTAGGGGGTATTTTTCATTAAAGAAGAAGAAAAAAAAAGCAGAAGCGACAGATAAAAGTGCATGACAAATCGTGCTGTAATAGCCTACTAAAAAGTATTGTGGCGTAAAAAGTACATGTGCAGGGACTTATTGGTGTATTATCTAAAAAAAAAAAGTTAGTAGGGTTAAGGGTTGGAGTGGTTGTGTGATTCTCTGAAAGTGGAAAATATAAATGTGCAAATGAGACATGTCTCTTTGGTTTTAAAGAAAAAAAGGAAGAATTATGCTTTTATGTTTAAAGGAAAAAAATGGGAGAGAGAGAGAGGTGCTACTAAAACCAGCTGATTGGTTTTTAATAACTAGGACTGAAACCAATGACCACCATCCAGTTTGGAACATATAGTTCTTATTTAAAGCGTGAGGACCTGCTTAGGATGATTTTTTTCTCCCCCCCTCTGTGCTTGAGTTTATGGAGAACGGAGAAGGTGAGCATTCATCCTGTTCTGGTCCAGAGAGAACCACAGAGGGACGTACAGTTTGAGATCTGGAGGCTCTTCGTTGAAAAGATTACCCAAAATGTCAGGGGGAGGATTATCCGCACACCACAGGGGGGTCTGAGGGTGGGTGGGATGGGGTGGGGGGTTCATGGAATAAATTAAAGCTTTGACTCCAGCAGTCAGTTGCAGTGCAGATCAGCTGGGTTTTATGTTATACATATAATTGTTTTAGCGAAGCAAAATTCACAGTGTTTTCAGTGGGGCGAGCACCAGAGCATCCCTGGTGGTCGCTGCTTTAAACACGCGGGGAGCGGGCCTCACGATGGACAACACACAACAACAACACGGTCACTAGGGTCCAACTTTCTAGCGCTACATCAGAAACGGCGAGGAGTTTTTCTTCCCCCTTCTCCCCCCCACCACCAGGCTCTTTGTGGTGGTCCAGGGGGCCGGAACGATGATGGATGTCTGGTACAGCTGCTGTATCCGATGTTTGGACTGATATGCATTGATGGATTTTGTTTTTTCCCCAAATGAGAAGTATATTGACATAAAAAAATAATAATAATTTTGTGCTTACATATATTCTAAAGCAAAGCCAGCAAAAGATATTTTCAAATACGTATAAAAGAAAATGTATTATCTAAAGAAATTTCATGACTAAAGAAAAAAATAATAAAAAGTTAATTTTCATAAAGCAAAGATGTGATTTTAAAATTCCAGAGTTTTTTTTCCCCAGAGTGAAAGTATAAAGATTTCCTTGATTAAAACGAGTTTAAATTTACCGTTCAGTGTTGTGATTTTTATGTTATTAAAGTCCTGTGTTATTTTATTTCACTTTTTCCAAAATGGATTAATGTGCAGTTCCACATATTTTGGTATCAATCTCATATCAAGTAAACACAGAGTTGATGTCGATACTGATACTAATACTTGTATCATCAAACTTCTGACTTTTAACTATTTTTCTGTATTTTTTTTTCTTTGCTTTATTCTGTTGAAGCCTTGGACATAATTTGTACAAAGTTGATAAACATATACAAAATGCTTTTAACAGAAACAATAGAAAGGTCAAAACCTGCGTGCATTTCCCCCCTAATTCATTCAAATGAAAAAAAAAATTTAGAGAAAAAACATCTTTCTAAGTAGAGTTGAGAAACAACAACACAAAAAAGCAATTTCAAGAAGGAATGTGAAATGGAAGGCTTACCTTAACGCCAATCCGATACCTGATACAGACGTGGTATCGATATTTTGAATCAATCCGCCCACATCTAGATCTAATTATGTTTACTGCTTGTAAAATATACTGATTGCATTCATCATTAAATGCATAGATTACAGTGAAAATATAAACCGTTTGTTTTCCAGGATATTTTGCTTATCAGAGCGCCAAAATATATTGGGAAATACTTTTTACTGTAATAGATTTTTATATGTCAAACTTAAAGTTTTACGTTCATCAAATAACATTTAATATCAGAACAACACGACCCGAATAAATACAGGATTTTTAGGATATTTTTTCAGATGTTTTTTGCCCAGTCAATGAAAACAGATACATTTTTCTGCTCCTACATTGTGGAGAATTTATGATTTGTAGCTTAAATAAGTAGATATTAGTATTTGATTCAGTTGGATCTCTTCACGAAAGGTTTTTTGTTTTTTTTTGAATTACCTGCTTCAAATTTTCATGAACAGTTTTTCTGTAAACAATTTTGTCACTTTTTTGCTGCAGCTATTCCAATCTCCTCACAGGGTGAAAACTTTGTGAAACAACCCGACTATTTGCTGGAATGCTGAACTTTTTTTTTTTCTCCTGCGACTTTAAAATATTCGAGAACATCCAGGTTTCCTGTGTCGTGCTCGCCGTCTCAAACAACTGCTAACGTTTTTCGCACTGTGGAAATTTGTGGAATATGAATAAGAGAATTCAGGATGCAGCTTATGATTGTGCCTGTAACACACATAAAATGAAACTGGATGGCCGCTTCATAACCCCGTCACGCGAGCCCAATCGAGGATCAGGGTCACCCATTTGAGTGTTGAAGACCAACAGGTTTACTTTCACAAGTGGAGCATTACGACTTTCGCCATGAAAAAAAAAAGAAGCGAAAGGGAGAAAAGGTTTGCAGAGAGGAAAGGAGAGAGAGAGAAGCAGAGAGAAGTTAGAAGTCTGCCTCTAAACCTGCAGAAAGAGAAAAACAAGAAACCACAACAAACAGCTGCATATATTATAATAACAGCAATAACATCGATGGAGAGTACAGTGTAGTAAATGATGAGTCTTCAAGCTTTTCCTTAAGTTCCTGGACACGAACGCAGCAGAGGTGTTTTACATGAGCAAGGCCAAAGCCTTACGTGTAATTATTGAAAAATGAGATGACGCAAACAGAGAAACAGTCAACAGTTTGGACAATCCTGGTCTGAACTGAGTCCGGGGCGTCCAAACTGATCTGGATAAAATGATTCTGTCGTTCTTCAGTTTCCCCTCATATTCACACAGCTGCACGCTTACATAACCACAACACACAAAACTGACGAAAGTCTTCTGTGTTGCACAAAACACAAACTGACCAAGCAGACCAACGCCTGTTAGACAGGCTGCAGAACGAGGAGATAAAAGCAGAACTTGCGCTGCAGTCTTTGCACACTTTTTTTTTGCCCCAAGGGCCAAATCTGGAAAATTTAAGCTGCTAGTGGGCCATAAATTATACAAATAAAAATGAACCAAAAAAAAAGTTTATTGTGATTATTTTTGATTGAAACTTTTTCTTTTTGCTTAATCTGCTCAACAATAAAATATAAATATTTATGGAAATCTGTATATCATTAAGGATCCAAATCATAAAAAGTCCTGCAGGCTGTTGCTGTATTAGAGGAAAAACAGACAATTTCCAAATTTTAGGGGTCGTCAATAGTTTTCTATTTTGTTGGCCAAACGTTTACCATTCTTAACTTGTGGTCATTTGGGGCCGGACAAAATAATTTCATACGCAACAAATGGCCCCTGAACCACACTTTGGACAGCTCTGGTATAGACTGATGCAATCCCTTTTTGTTTTTTAAAGGTTTTTTTTTAAAGTTTTTTTGTTTTGTTTGTTTTTTTAAGAACAAAGTTTGCATTTTAAATTTGGATCCAGTTGGTACTTGTGACCAATTCCAGGTTCCTTTAACGTAGAACTTGTGACCTGCGAGGAGAACATGAACTCTGCTGCCACCAGAGTTAATCAGGACTGTTGAAGCTCTGCACAACAAGAGCTTGTTCTGCCGTCCATGACTCTCCAGTGCCTCATCTCTCTGTGCACACAGCCGAAAAAGTGGACAGCTCAACATGTGAGGGGGAAACAGGGGGTGTGAGTTGGAGGGTCAGTGGGGGGGTAGTTAGGGGTAATTCGACTCCCTCCTCTCCTGGTGATCCTGTTGTCAGAGCCGGTTTGCCGG